ACTGTTACACTGCAGAAGCTGTGAGGGAGACGTTTGTCTGCAGATTCTCTCCCAAAAGGGGGAAAGCTCTTCCCTCCACAGCCACCAAGACCCATCTTGTCTCCCTCTGTCGCCCCAGGCTGCAGAGCTAGTGGTACCTGGTTTTATCGCTGTTAATGCACTCAAGAATTAGATTAATTTTTTCAGCAGGGTGGGTTAAAAAATCAGGCCGTTTGGTGCAAAGACTACAACCTAATTCTTCACTCAGAGCGGAGAAACTCCCATTAATCTCATTGGCACCGCACCTAATTTATTAATTAAAAAGTCTGAGCTGCCAATGCCGGAGGAAAGATTCTGACTCGCGGTGCCGATGGGAAGAGCAAAGCGCTGCTGGGTGAGGTGCCCGGGGAGGGCTGGCTGGCGAGGAAGGCTCGGCTGCCTGCGTGATGCTCACGGAGGGGGGGGTTCCAGAACAACCCACCACCGGGCACGCAGATGGGGTCAGAGTTAATATTTAACTGGGAGATGCGCTGTGGAGGTGTGAATAAATCTCCAAATAGGATGGCTCACATTTTTTTCCTTCCATCACAGAATGCAAACACGTTTTTATTCTTGGCAAAGCAGGGAAACAGGTGGAAGATAAAAATAACCAGTTTTTGAGAACAGGCTTAACATTAGTCATTTCCAGTCTGCCTAAGAAATATAATTTCGTCTTGTATGTGCAAAGCGAGGGGCAACGGACCCACCGTGGATGTGGGATTGCCTGACAATCGCCATTTATGACCTTTGGTAATGAGTCATAAGGTACCAAATCTTGTTGAATTGTTATTATCCTCCTGTTTCCCTGCTGGCAAGCGCATCTGCATTGTGCTGCTTGGGCTCCAGAGCAGTGAATCATCTGTTCTTTCTGGCAAGTGAAATGGCTGTGCCTTACACAACTGCTCATTCAAGACAGAAATGAGTTTATATAAACTGCCAACAGTGGAACCAGAGAAGTTGTAACTCTGAGATTTCACTGGAAAAAGTGAGATCATGGGAATTTCTCTGATACTTAGAAAATTAATTTGGTACCTCTATTGCTTCAGTTTCTCTTACTTAACTGTAACGTACTTTTACAGACCATTATAGTCAATAATTACTGTTAACAGTGCAGCTGCTCTCTTTCTAAACTTGCGGCCAGCAAATAGCAAAAGAGCAATTAAATCAATCTGTTGTCCTTCTCCTTGCGATGGGTTAGGATCACAAACACAGCCCATTATCCCTTCTCAGCTGAGGGGCAGGGATTTTTTTAAATGCTCTGTTAGTCACTTAGAACACAAGAGATCTAACTAGCTTTGTTGGCTGAGTCTGTGTCTAAGAGTCTGAAATTGCTTTCAGCCTTATTTCTACCTGAATTTCTTAGAGTTCTTCAAATAAATGAATTTGTTTAATGGATGGTGGAAGAAGCAACCATCGGCAATGCATAAATAGCACAACACATAAAGCTATACCGAGACAACAATGAACATTTCTTTTTTAACTGTCTTCAGAGGAGCGTGGAGCACATTAGCAGTACAGTGACATCTTTATTGATGGACTGGCAGTCACACGGGTGGATAGTGCCCTGTTGTTACAGAAAGGTTTCGTGCTGGGAATTATAGCAGAATCCTGGAGAAAGAAATCTCCCCAAACATGCTGCTGATTTCATTTTCGTTTTTTCCAGTGCTTTTCTTTCAAGAGCAGTGAGTGCTTTGAAGACATTAACAAATGCCACTGGACTCATCTGGGAGAGATGTTGATGTTATCCCCTGCTGCATGGGTAGGCTGTGCCCAAGACAGTGTTGTTCTGCAGGACAGGTTGATACGATTCTCCCCATCTTCGTAACTTTTTTTTACGGATGAGATGTCGTGAGTTTGGGTAACTTACCTAGAAGTCACACAGCAAGTGAGTGGCTTAACTAAACGGATAGAGCCTCCAAATCCTGGGTCTCTACTCCCTGCTGTGGATTGCCTGACTGAGAGAACAGGTCAGCGATACAGCCTGAGTCCATCCTGTGTCCACGGCTCTTGGGGGAGGCTGAGTTATTCTTGGGTGCTAGTACATCCATGTTCTGTAAATGTAATGTTAGCTTCAAAACAGGACATGCATCCTGGCACTTGCTAGTCTGCATTTTCTGCCTCCACGTCACTGTCATCTGTGAGAGGGAAATCACGCAGGGTTTTGTGAGTCGTGTAGCTTTTGGTTCTGGCTTAAGATTGCCTGGGTGAAGGAGAGAAGAAATCATGCTTTAGTAAAAACAGTGATTAATTTGAATGGTTACTGAGAGCATTACCACTTTTAGAGAAAGCCAAAGCAGCGAACAACTTTTGCCCAGGGAATACAAGCTGTCAGTTGAGGGAAGGATCGTAGCTCTAAACTTTTCTGGTTTTATTGTCTGAGGTTTTTGTCCCTTTTTTTAGGGCAGAGTAGAGCCCAAGAGGGAAGACGCAATCCCTGGCAAATTTATTCTTATCTCCCCTCAAATCTCTGGATTATCAATCCCCTATACTTTAAGGGAATAAAGTGTATTTAAACTCACAATCTTCTCCTCTTTAGCAGGAGGGTTACGTAGGTACCAACAGAGAGGAGCATAAGCAATATTGATAACTCCAATGATGATCATCAGCCAGGGAAACCCAATAGCTCGTACAATCGCACCGCCTGTGGATGGACCTGCAAATTTAAAAAAGGCTAAGAGGACAGACAGCAAAAGATGCCTTTCCAGTTTGGAGGGGGTCTATGAATCTACGGTGGCTGGGTTGCAGGCTCTGTGCCAGTTGCTTGTGGTGAGCGCTGGGTGGAGGAAAGGGAGCAATAAACAGAGTGAGGTACACGCTGAGCACGTCATCCCATGAGTAAGAGTTCCTCCATACCAATCGCAAAGCCCATGCAGAAGGCGACATCAGCTATGGCATAGACGTTGCCGTAGACAGAGGTGTGGCGAAGGTCCACGAGGTAACCCATGATGGGCATCATTGAGGAGTCCACCATCCCTGCCCAAAGCAAGAAGGACCTGATCGGTCATCGCCTTCTCCGAGGGTGGTGGCGAGAGCTGTGTTTGAGCTGTGTTGGCACAGCCTGACCACCAACAGCTTACCTATGGCAAAGCCAAGGCCACTGTTCGGGCCAATCAGCCCATAAATATTTTTGGCCAGAGGTACCTTTGAGGGGAGAGAGAGAGAGATAAAATATGAGTAAGGCCAGAAGAGCTGTGTGAGGTGTGAAGGTGTAACATAGATCTGTGAAACAGATACACAGGCGCAACCACTGACCGCCAGGCACGTAACCCCATCTCCGTGCTATCGCCCACGCTGCCCTGGCTGATTCTTCTACACAAAGGTCTCGAAATCATCTTGTGCTACTTACACAAAGGAGACTGATTCCCACCACAGCCATGCCGATCAGGGAGCACAGCCACCTGCAACGAGGCCACAGTTAGGAGAGGGCGGATGTTCTCAGTGTGCACAACACTACGAGCGTAATTCATGCTGAAAGCGCAGGACTGGGTTGGGTTGAGCCAAAATCTCTTATGTTCCACTTACCGGCCCATTTTGTTAGCCAGAATCCCGAAGAGATTGGTGCCGATGAGGTAGGATACACTGGCAGGGAGGAACGCCATCCCTGAGAGAGAGAGAAAGAATAAGTGTGTCATCCCCAAGCAAGTATGGGGGTCTTGCAAAAATGTTCACTTCGCTAACTGCCTCTCTCATTTGGAGAATATCGTGAGCCAGGCAAGAAGAGATAACATCCAGCACCCTCACTGTGGGTGCCCATCCGTGCGGTGGTGCTGCTCCGTGTCCTCCACTGCCACCGCTCCGTGTCAGGGCTGCGCTGGCTGCCCCGTTGCTCCATGCCCTGTAGAAGGGTGGGGGTCCCTCCATGAAGATGGAGGGAGGCACAGAAAATGTGTTTGCTTTTGAGGGGGGGAGACTGAGGCACGCAGAGGTGCAGTGATTCGCCTGCAAGATCTGTGAGACAACCAGAAGCTAAACGCAGGACTTCTTTGTCCCCACTGCTTTTTCTCTCCTGTCATAGTTTCTTCCTCTTTCACCTTTCCCCCCTTGCCTTCTGCTTTTCACTTACTAAATGAAGAGGAATAAAATAGCTGCTTAAGTAAAAAGCTTGGGGATCATTATGTAGTCAAAATTAAATATTTGCACTGTTTGCTAATTTACCAGTTGTTTATTTTTAATATACTCTTCTGCCAACTATAAATAAAACTGATCAGCTCTGTTTCACTAAGGCAACTTCCTTATTGAAGCGCACTGATTCGTGTTTAATTTTCTTTCCTCTCTTAAACGGCTACAGAACACAGTTAATCCTGCAGGTTTAGTCCAAGCTCTTTGGTTTTGTTTTGTTTTTTTTTTTTTCTAGAATAATGGGAGTGGGCAAACTGAAGCATACGAATAAAGCAGCTACTTGAGTTCATAGTGGCTTGTGAGACGGGTGGCTTGCAGCTGAACTATGTCTAAATCCAAACTGCTCTCGAATCTCAGGTACCTGAAAATCTAGCGAATATATTTGGGATTTTCTGTGATGTCTACTGACCTCTGGGTACTGCTAAGCCACCTCAAAGGTTCCTCTTGAGTTCAGTGGTGATGGGGGCAGCCCTGAGTGCTTTTCTCAGCCTGTGACATTTGTGGTTACCAGCAGCTACGCTGTCCCTTCTCCCCGCTGCCAGAATCCTTGGGACGCTGCTTTACCCTCGTCCATCCTTGCTCCATCACTTGCTCATGAGAAGCATCGTAAGCTCTTATCTAGATGGATGCTCCTACCTGACCAGAGGACAACTCGATTAGAAGCGCTCTCACCCCTCCTACTCCCAGGCTGCAATTCAATTTGGGATCTCAGTGTAGCCTGGGGCACCCCCCGGGTCATTCCTCAGCCAATTGGGTTTTATAACAATTAGGTTTTATTTTTGTGGCGAACACAGACAGTGCTATCTCCATATCGCATTTTCTAGGCAGCTGGTAATTAGCACGTACCATCCTGTCCTGCCTGGGACTCTCTAAATGGCCTTGGTTTACTCGGAGCCGCCTCTGCAAAACCCATCTGGCTGCCACAATTTCAGCCCAGCACGATACCATTATCTGCCCTGCAGAAGATGGGATTCGACAGGCTTCCCGTGCATGAAACAGCCTTTCTTCCACCGTTATTGCTCTTGTGGGGAGTCTGATTCTATACAATTTTTTCAATAATAGAGAAAAGCATATTGTATAGCTACCACTAAGGACATTTCCAGCTGAAATTGGAGCAACACTCAGCCTGGGATCATTCACTCTGTGCGGGTGAGGGCATATGTTTTCTTCTTTTTCGGAATGATATAAGAGATTATTCAATCCACCTTGTAGTGCCAAAGCAGGACCGGTGCTAGCTAAACTCTATCAAGCAGCTGTTCAGGAGTGGAGGCTGCAAAGCACAACACCTACCGAGCTGCCATTTCGGGGAGCACATGGTTTGCATCATCCAGATGGGCAAGGTGGGCTCGAGCATGGCCACCCCCATGTTGGAGAAGCAGAGGGCTCCTGACGGGGAGAAAAGGAAGAAACGCTCTATTTCAGCCGCCTTTTGCGGCCGTTTGAAGCAGACACGAGTAAATCTTTTTGCTCAGGAGACGCAGGCGCACCAAGAGGAGTGCGGTGCGTGGTGATGTCCACCTTTACCTGCAGCCACCAAGATGTAGGGGTCTCGCAGGAGGGTGAACACCGGGGTGCCTGTGGTCCTCTGCGGGATGGCAAAGCGGGGGTTACGTTGACATTCGCACCCATCCTCGCCTCGGTGCCTGCACAGCCCTCCTTCCTGGGGAGCGTGCGTGCCCACTTTGTTCCCACCGCCCGGCACCGGCTCACGTACGCACACGCGTCTGTACTCACCTCGGGGCAGATCTTAGAGGGCTGCAGGATGCAGAGCTGCAGAGCTGGGAAGAAAAGACTGATGTTAGCTTATTTCTGGAGACGGCATCCACTTCAATCCGCATTTCCCTCTTGGCTTTTCCTTCAGCCTGACCCCTTTCATCGACAGAAGCCCTGGGGATGTGGTAGCGATGTTTAGGGACATCGTTCAATTGGGCAGGGGGCGAGGTGGCTCCCAGCCCTGCTCCCGTGGGAAGGAGCAGCAAAACTCCCTGAAGTGGACTGTGTTAGAAGTGTTTTATCAACCCGTGAAGCAGTCAAATATGTAAATGCTCTCCATCAGGCTGCCAGCTGCCTGCTGGGGAGCCACAACTAGAGCACGACGGAAATTAGATGTGGAAAAGAATAGGATTAAAACCCAAAGTTTCATATGTATGGGACCTACGTTTCATTTTCCAAAAGCTCTTACATGCTTCATTAAAGATGTCTTGCATTACATCTAGGCAAAGATGGTAACTGTGACTATAATTTAATTAGCTTAACGCTTCCCACTAAAAATGCACATTTCTGCTCTCTATAACTCTGCCGTTACACTCTGAAGGCTCTCGTGGCCTGCATCTGTAATACAGCTATCGGAGAAAGAACAAGGATCACAATTTACGCTGGGAAAGTCTAATTCCTTCGTGGCATGGTGAAGAGGCTGCAGACAAGTGTGCCTTTCACAAAGAATTCGCAGTTCAAAGAGCTTTACTGAATGTGCTATTCAAGCCATTAAAGCAATCAGGGGGTTTATTAAGTAATGAGGGACTAATTCTTACTATATTGCTATGTCAATCATCCGGTGGTAGAAAACATATGATTTAGCAATAACAGAATAACCAGTGCTGATGATATCACCCGTGTTGTATTCATGTGCCTCTTCCTTCACACAAGCCCTGGGAGACTCTCCCCAAAAAGTCTGCATTTAAATCTTTTCAGATGGTTTGTGTTTGTTTTTTTTTTTTTTTCTTTTTTTTGTAGGATTAAACCATTTGACTTCTCACCTCCATCCAAGAGGGCGAGGAATGCCAGGACCAGGAAGGGAGACGATTTCCCCACGAATTCGTACATCACGCTCCCAAAGGGGGCCCCAACTGCAAGGGAAAGGCTGGGTCACACAGTGCCAGTGCCACCGTACCCAGCACTCGGCTCCCACCATCGTGGTTTTCTCTGAATCCCCCGGCGGGTGTTTGGTGGAGGTGGTGGGAAGATGTTGAATCCTGCGGGCAGTGGCCGTGGCGTGAGCGGAGGGAGGGAGGAGGACAGGCCAACCGTGCCCGTGGGATGCTGCCAGGGAAGGGACACAGCCAGGCAGGTGGAAGTCGTAGGTGATGGCCAACAAAGCTCTGGAGATGCTGTTGATGTAAACCCCCTCGGGAGCAAGATTTCCTTACTCAGCACACCCAAGGCCAAGCCTCCAAGAGCGATCCCCATTGCGTTGCCCCTCTCGAAGTCGTCCGTGTACACGCTGGCCAGCATGCCCAAGCCTGGGAGCAGAGAGAAAGCAGAGGCTACATGAGGCTGGCTGGTACCGTGATGGTGGGGCTCCTTTCTGAAAGCAGCCTGGGCTTTTGGGGGGATTTATCTGCTTGCCAGCTGGGCTGTGTGGGTGCATGGTCTGCACCAGCCAGGCAGGCACAGCGAGGAGGAGGAGTTTGAAGCCGAGGAAGGCACTCGGTGCCGATCATTCCCAAGATGACAACTGACCCCGACAAGGGGAGCTAACGCAGAGACTGAGGTCTGACTGCAACATTTACCTGCGACTGATGAGAACGATGACCCAATGCCTTGGAGGGCTCGGGCGATGAACAGCAAGGTGTAGGTGCCTGAGAAAGCAAACACTGCGGAGGAAGGAGAGAGAGGGCATCAGGCAGAACTGCGGACCGAGCGTTAAAACCCTGCAGAGGGTAAGAGCAGCCTCAGCTTGCACCAGTTGGAGTGCTGGAGGGGGCAGTGGGCCACTCATCCTTTCTTGTCACTGATTTCTGAGATTGGTTACTCTGCTCTCACTCCTTTCTCCCGCACGGGGACAGTGATGCAGGCACAGACCAAAGTGTTTTCTGCTGTGCTGCTGCGTCTGAAGGGCAGACGGAAGGGCAATACTCACTGACTGTGGAGAGGAACATGATGATGAATCCGATGAACATGGGGATGTGGTATCCTATCCTGGAAAGGGAAAAAAGAGGCACCGTCTCAGGGAGGATTCCTCATTCCAGCTTGAGATCTGGTCTTGCTGCCCAGCCTTAACACACATGTCTCTGTGGGCTGGTAAGCATCTCCTGAACGTGTGGAGGTGCCCACGAGTGCTGTTCAGGGAAGCAGGCAGTGTCTAAGTGCCCCCCAATAATACTGTAAAGCACACCCAGAGGCACGGCTCGGTTTTGCCAACTCCTCTGCCCACCCAGACCACGTGGAGATGAGCCCAGGGCAGCTCGCGCGTGTCTGCTGGAGACAAAGGCAAAGAACAACTCGGGGGCAGAAAATCTGAAAACAACATTATATCCATAGCGGGATGGGAGTCTTTGTTTGTTTATTTGATGGTTACTGGTATTAAATAGCATCTGTTTGCACCTGAGGAGAGCATTAGTGAGGCTTATGTTGTAGTATAAACTTGCAAGCCATTTGAAGAGTTTTAGAGAAGGTAAAATTCATATTTATTTTGATGCGTATATTCTTCCTCTTGTTATTCTACCCGCTGGTTCCTGTAATTCTGTGTTTGCAGACCTTTGCTGCTCAGCTAATGGTGATTTCATTAGCAGGCGGGAGCTGCCGGTCCGTGAAGGTACAAACCCAGGTCTCTGACCTACCTGTTGGTCAGGAGACCCACAAACGGGTTGACCACCAGCTGTACGAGAGCCTTGGAGGCAAACAGCAGCCCCACACGGACGTTTTCCTTGGCGAGGAACTCCTCACCCTCCGGGCATCCACTCGGCACCGGTGGGCTGCTGGCAGGGGGCTGCGGTGGGCGGCTGCTCTCCGTCCCGTTCACCTGCCCGGCAGAGCCGGCGGAGCCCGAGACAGTCACCGTAGTGTTGTCAAAATAGGAGAACATGGAGGAGAAAGGAGGAGCCTTCAAGGCTGGAGGAGCCGGCTTAGCCTGGGCTGGGGCAACAGAGCTGTTGGCACCTTCATATTCGGTTGTATAAAGGAAGGTGGGGACGATCGGTACTGGAAAAAAAGCCAGGGAAGAGATTAGTTAGTGATTTTAGTCCATTTTCTGGCTCAGCACCCAGCTGAACTGAATGGTGCTGGCCAGATGTCGGTGTCCTGAAAGCTCCCAGCACCCAGCCCTCCCCACAGCTCTCCCTGCGGCAGCGACCCTGCCGGCATCAACCAGAGACCGAGCGAGGAGCCGAAACCCCGAGGCAGCACCCGAAGAGCACGGCAAGAGCCGTACACCGTACCCACGACGGTCAGCAGCATGTTGTCCAGCAGCAGCGCGACGAACACCACCACCAGCACCAGCCTCCGCGATGCTCTGCCTGCTGCCAGCCAGCGCCAGGGCACGTGTTCGGCAGCCGGGGACATGGCCGAGAGCCTGGAGCTCAGCCTGGGTCCTGCTGGCTCCTGGTCCTCAGGGCTGAAGGTCCCCTGTAACCTTTAAAGAGAACGCTCCGGGTTACAGCTTCCCACAGCTCATGGCTTCTCCCTTGGGAAAGCAACTCCTGCGGTCGCTTAGCGTCTGTGTCCTCCTGAGCTGGGTGCTGTTCCCTGGGTGCTGAGACCACCAGCTTTGCTATCAAAGATGGTGATTTTATCAAGCTTGCATTTAAAGTTGCAGATGGAGTGTGCTCTAACTCATTTCCACTCTCCTGAGACATCTTGTACCTGCTTCAAGGCATCATTTAAGTCTTCTTCCAAAGACTCAAAGCACAGATCAAGCCGGTAGCTTGTCTGTGGTAATCTCTACATCTTTTATTCCATGTTTGTTCTTTGGAGATTAAATTTGGTCTCAAAGGAAATTCATTTACCTTCCATGTCTTTTCATTTGACCTAATTGAAATGTCATGGCGAGATACAGGACTTAAAAGCCTAACATACGTGATTAGGATCGGGGCTTCAGAGGGGCTGAAAGAAGATTGCTTGCTCAGTCACACTGGAAATATCAATCAGAAATTTGCACTAAACCAACCGAACAATTAGCCATTTACGTTCTTATAGCTCTTAGGCACTTCAGAGACTAAGTGGCAAAATGAACGGAGCCGAGTCCAAACTATCACTCTTTTTTTTTTTTTCCTAAAATCCCAGGCAATGATATTTATCAATTTTTAATTAAGAAAAGCAAACGCTCCGAACCCTCTGTCATCAAATATGAGTGCCACACAAGTCACTAAGTTGGGAAACAGGGATGGTTTCTCACTGTACCTCTGAGTACTCGTAAATACCAAATAATAGAATTAATGCAAGAGAAGAGTGAGAGACATATATAAAAATTAAGAGAGAGAGAAAGAGTAGGGAAGGGTAGACAATAAAGACATGTAGACTAATGTAGCCCTTACGTCTCAAGCCACAAACCCCGTCCCCTTCTCAATGCAAACCTGTTGTGTGGAGCAGAGGAAAACAAACTCTTACCCTGGAGCCCATCTCGGTGCGAGGAGCTGGCTGCTGCTGCGGGAGGTGATGTGCTCTGCAGCTGCTGCTCCCGGAGGATTTATGATCACCTTTTATCAGAAGAGGATATGAGTGTCCCTCTTCCATGGAGATTTAATTGGAACCTCAAACAAGTTTCATTCAGCCCTGCAGCTCCCTCTGCGTCAGAGCAGGACGGTGGGGTGGGCTGAGGGGCACTGAGAGGAGAGAAGCAGGAGTGTTTATCTGAGGCACCCGCTCCCCAGGCTTTCATCAACGCTTATCTCTCTCCGAGCACCTTAATTCTTGCCTGGATCTGCGCACACAGAACACGCTGACCTGGGACGGCACGGCCCCCTCCTCCGTGGGGGGAGGCCTGCTCTGCCCCGTCAGCGAGGGGTTACGGGGGGCAGCGAACGGATTCATCACTGGGAGGCGAGGCTGGCATCGTTAAATGGCCTTGGGAAATGCATTTATAAAATACGTAATAGTCTAGGTCTCGGACCTAGAGTAGAACCAGGCAGGTTTCACCAGCGAGATCTGCAGCACCCCAGGGTTTTTTGGTTAACTCCAAAACTCAGGGAGCACAATTTGATGAAAGAGGGATATGGCATCAGTTGCTCTTCCCTGCTCCCTCTGCACGTGTTTGCACGTCACCGTGGGCTGTACACTCGTGTTTACCGGGTTGAACCCGTGGACTTTGGCAGCGGGTGCCAGTGCATGGGCTGGGTGCGTGGATGGGCCGGGTGCGTGGATGCACCGGGCACGTGGTGAAGGAAAGGCATCGACCAGCAAGTGGGGAAGGACTGGCTGTGTGGGTGGGAGAGAAGTCTGCAGGATACAGAGCTGAAAAGGCACCAGGTGGGGGTTTTTGCTCAAGGATCTGCGTGGAGGCTTCGCAGGGACATCTGCATTGCTTTACAGCCTGCAAAGGGAAGGAAAGGAGCTGCGTGCCCGACAATCCCCACAGCAGGCACTACCAGAGTCGCTGCTTCTCCCATGGGATGTGGTACAAGGAGCTTCCTCCAAAGCATCCCTTCTCAGGCAGCTTTTTCCTTTTTGTGCTGAATGGTTTTAGCATTAGAAGGAAAATAAACTGAAAGAGAGCTCTTCCTCAAAGGGAAAAAGGAAATCTTTAGGTCACTGAGTCTCATGCTGTGGGCTGGTCCATAGGATGCTGACAAGCATCCACAATGTAGATTAGCTTTTCAGGTTTTCCAGAATTAAAAGTGTGATGATGAGCGTTCATAGTGGATGGAAATATTTTTAAGGCCAGAATGCACTGATCTGGCCCATGGTTTCTGAGAGGTATGGGGGAATCTCGCCTCTCCCCTGGCTGTGGTCCCTCCATGGCTGAGCTCTGCCCTTGCCTCCTCCCCACAGAAGGATGCCGGCAGCGGGGCACGAGTCCACGGCATTTCCCTGTGCTGTTACGCTGTCTACTTTATCTCCAGGGACAAGGAGATATTTCCTGGACTAACAAGGCAATAAGCAAAGCTGGATGGAAAATTATATCCATGCCCGGGTGAGGTACTGCAAATGCCATTTACAATGTGGTCTCTTCCATACTTTCTGTTTTCTTAAACTTTTGACGCTTTGCTCTGTGATTTCTTTTTTAAACCGAAACTGATACCATCATTCATTCAGGATACAGAGATTTACCGCAGAGAAGGAAAATAAATCCTAAACATATTCACCTTTTCTCTGTTGGCGCGTAAATCTGCCGTTGAGGCCATTTATCTGGCTTCTGCATGGCCAAAAACTATTGCCAATAACGTGAGATGAGTACGTCCTACCAAGGAATTCCCTGGGTGTGCATTAGAGCTGAAGTTGAAGCCTTTAAATATATTTCATGAGCTGAGAATTGAATGTCTAGGCCTGGAAATTGCTTTCTAAATATCTGCAAAACGGACAGAGGATGAGCAGTGCAGCACTACCATCTACTGAGGGAGCTCAGAATTGCTCAGCGGTACCTTGGGCGCTGGGTAGAAAATAATCCAGATTCTCCTTCAGGTGAGGAGGGGCACGTGAAGGCAGTTGTTATTATTATTATTATTGTTACCTTTTTCTTTTGTAGGCCCCAAGGTGAGGACACCATCTCATTTGGCAGCCCGAAGCAGCCGAAGGAGATTGCAGTGCCGTGTCACATGTTTTGCAGAGGTGATGGGAAAGCTTACTCAGATGTGCTTTGGAAGCATTTCCATGGGTCCATCAGATTTTTCCAGGCAGTTCTATTTGAGATTATTTTTTTTTTTTAACCATTACAAATGTTTGCCGTGAATTTTGCTTTCAGTAACGCTACGGAAAAAAAAAATGACCACAATTTTCTTCCTGGCTAGGCTGAGGTAGTAAAGTATAGCGAACATTTCTTACGTAATGAAAAGTCTAAGAGAATTTATGGGCTGTCTCGAGACCCAGCGTAGGATGTGGGCCTGAAAAATCGCTGATAGAAGACCTCACGCCGGCTCTGCAGGCTGATTGCAATTCCAGTGAATTCAGTTGACAGCAGGCTTCGCTCGGCGAGATTGCTCCCTGCTGCTGCCTCACCTCCAAGGTGCAGTGAAATACGTCCGCGATGCTGCGAGGGCTCCCGCGTACCCGCGCAAAGCGGCGTTTTACGAATCAGTGTGAGACGAATGGCTTCTGGATGTCATACCGCCAGCCCGGGGTCGGGTGAACACGAGGGCATAAACACGGATTGGAAGAGGCATCCGTAAAAGCACACTTTTCTTTTAAGTCACTCTCCGCTAATATTTCCTTTATCGGAAGGTTTCTGTTACCCCGTACGGGAGCCGCTGCCCTGGAGGTGGCCGCTGGCTGTTGCCTTATGCTCTCCACTGGGTCAATTTGCATCGTCCTCTCGAATCCTGTTTTTTTGGTTAATCCACGAGGCAAATTTTCTCAGCCTGCAAAGACTAGTTAAGAACCGAATAATAAATTTTAGAGCACAAAACGGTCTGTTTTGAGCAATCGGAGTTTGCATCCCTGGGCCACCTTTTAGTCAGGCTTGGAATGCAGGTGGAAGGAGGTTGCAAAGTGGTGCCGGTTGAAGTAACCCTTAAGTTTAGCAAGTCCTGCTGGGTTGTATTTTGTGAAGTCCTTTTGACTACTAACAAACAGGAGAGCTCGGTAACGTGCCCAAGGTCACGTTGCATGAGAAGGAGAGCTGAAACCTGGCCAAAGCCACCTAGTTTTGTGTTTAATCCACTTGAAGGCATTGTCCCTTTGTCTGGGGGTTATTTATTGTGTTTACTCCCTCTTTAGCCAAACAGTTTCTTGTGCGATTGTTTAGTTTTGTTTTTTTCCATGAGTCTCACCAGTCCTTGGTACTTTGTTGCTCTCCCAAAGAAGCACAGAATTGCCAATATCTCTTTGAAAACATATTTCCCCCAAATATTTCTAATTTTAATGTAGAAGGAGATAGAATATTGTTTTATAACATCAAATAATTCTGTCTTACTGCTAAGCAGGGAGGAGAACAAACAGCAACTATTAAAATTTAACGTATATGAAGAGCTGCATTACCCGTAAGGAAATAGAAGGTTGACAGACTAGTGGTTTCCTGGAAAAAGGTATTTACAAATAACTCACCATCTTTTTTTATTAAATTAAAGGTTTAGGGGGTAAGGCAGCTCTTATTCTGTTCTTTAAATAATTGCACCAGTCAGCCCTTGGTGTTTGAGGATGCGGCATCAGTGCAAGTGGGGTGTTTCCATTGAGAGCCCTGTCTCACTGCCAGGTCGTACTCTATTTCTTGTCTCCCCTCTCCCTGGAGCAGCTGCCCTGACGCTCTTAGATCAAAGCGCTGGTTTTAGATGAGGCATAGCCGTGAGGACGTGGCTGAGGCGTAAGGACGCACGTGGAGCTCGTGGG